TGACTGCCCTTTAAAAGTGAGCCTTTCTTGTCTAATTCAGGTTGAGAATTTCTGCCTCTGGATTTTTTTTTTTTTAATCAGTCAGCATCACATTTTTTTGGCGAAGTTTTTACTTTCTTTGCTACTTGGAAAGTGGTCAGGAAATACATTTTTTAAATATGAGTCTCAGGTCTCCAAATTGCTTGTGGCAAGAACCTCCTGGCTGTTGACAATCAACAGAGCGGTGAAAATTAACCCACAAGGCTGCACATTTCAGAGCAGAAGAACAGATACGCAAGTGGTGAGCAACACGGGCTTTGTCTCTGAAAGCCTTGCAGACTGTCCTCAAAGCCACTGCCCAGGGACCACAAGACAGAAAGCCTTTGTGTCTACCATTTATAAATGACATCTGCAGCTTTCACACAATTCTTAGAAAATAAAACAAATGGGATCAACCAATTAATCAACTAACAAACTGGACAAATAAAAATAAGCAAAACACAAGACTATACAGTTTTCATGCAAAACCCAGCTCTAAGTAGAAGAGGGATCTACAAAAGAGAAAAGTGAGAAAGTGGGGACATGTTTTCTCAGGTCCATGAATACATGCTCTTGACCTTGAGGCTCTACTTTCAATCCTCCTCAAAAGACTACACAGTGCTGCATTTATCAATTTCATTAGAAAATGTCCTGAGTAAGAGAAGACCTGTTTGGAGGAAGAGATTAGGAAAGAGTGTGGATATGGTGACAATAGTACGGAACTGCCTCCAAATATGTGCGAGGCTTGTATTATTAAGAGTGACTGAATTGTTCTCTGTATCTGTGCTCCCCGTAACCCACGCCCCGGCCTTAACCTCCCATCTACAGAGGCGGGAAGGTAAAGGTCAGTTCTAGAGAGAACCCCGGGTTGTTACAGTCAGAAAAGCTTGAGGACAGAGTCTGGCCTAACAACCAAACTGAAGAGCACAAGGAAGTTGGAAATTGGCCCATCTTGTTCCTGTTTAGGCCAGGGAGGATTGCCCCAGTATCCTGATTCTTTCCAACACACACACTTAGCAGATGACTCAACATTCTCACACTACAGCCATACAAAGATACAATGGACAAGCCCAGGGGAGTCTTCAAACAAAGACACGGATTACCCAGATTATCCGATATCAATGCCTGCACTGGGTAAGGGGATAAATCAGCTCTTTCTAAGGTCCCACCTCATCTTGACATTCTATGACTCTCTAAGAGAGAGAGGACTATGGGATCCAGATGCCAGACCATAAGAACAGACTCCAAGAAGACAGGCAAGTTGGCAGAGGGAGAGTAGATTGCCTACTTGTGAAAGTCCTCAATGCAGTAAATGAGCCCGCCGGCATCCACGGTGAATGGGATCCCATCTAGGCTGCGGTGGCACATCACACAGGTGAAACAGTGAGGATGGTAGGCCTTCCCGGTGGCACGGAGGATCCGCTCCATGATGGGCTTGAAACACACGTTGCACTGCTCCAGAGTATTCTGGGGAGGGAAAGAAAAACTGCCGCGTTAGGCTGGGACTTGAGGTACTCCATTTATGTAATAATGCACAGCGTGGCAAGCATTTTTACAACCACGTTGGCTTCTGCGCTTACCACAGTACTCTGAGGAAGGCAGTATATGTTTATTATAGAGAGGGGGAAATACAACTAGATAGATCAAGTGGCTTTCCAAGGTTACCCAGGTAGCAAGAGGCAAATCCAAGATTTAGAACTAGTCTTCTGCCCTCGTTCCTTTCTACCACACCAGAAGTCAGCAAACTTTTCTGCATAGGGCCATATAGTAAATACTTTGGGCCTTGCAGGCCATAGGGTCTCCATCACAACAACTCACTTTTGCTGTTATAGCACAAAGGCAGCCATAGATAACACTAAAACAAATGGGTATGACTGTTCCAGTTGATCTGTAGTTACAAACGCAGGTGGAGAACTGGATTTGGCCCAAAGCTCTGGTTTGTCTACCCTTGCACTACACCACCCAGCTTCTCCACTTGGAGAATGCTTTGCTATTACTTCTAAAACTTGATTAACCAGAAAAGAACTTGTGTGGGCACCAAGGCCTCTAACTCTTCAGAGAGGGGTCTATCTGAAGACTGAGACCCACACAGTGTGCCAGCTGCTGAACCCAGTCAGAGCTTAGCTTCTGAAGAGCTTTCGATCGTTCAATGCCCTGATTTTCAAAAATTCATGGGTGGGTAAACTCTTGATAGAAATCTTGAACCTGGAGAGAGTCTAGTTTTGAGAAGTAAATTGAGAAAGTCAGTTTAGCTGGCTTTAAAAATATGGTGAGTTTTAAAATACATGTTGTGGTTGTTAGGTGCTGTCGAGTAGATTTTGACTCACAGCGACCCCACGTGACAGAAGAGAACTGCCCCATAGTGTTTTCCAGGCGGTAATCTTGATAGGAAGGAGCTCTGGTGGTACGCGATGGTTAAGCGCTTGCCTGCTAATCAAAAGGTCAGCTATTCAAACCCACCAGCCACTCCATGGGAGAAAGATGTGGCAGTCTGCTTCCGTAAAGATTTACAGTCTTGGAAACCCTATGGGGCAGTTCTGCTCTGTCCTAGAGGGTCTCAATGAGTAAGAATCGACTCGACAGCAATGGGTTTGGTTTGGTTTTGGTTAATCTTTATGGGGGCAGTTCACCAGGTCTTTCTCCCACGGAGCTGCTGGGTGAGTTCCAACCACCCACATTTTGGTTAGCAGCCAAGTACTTAACCACTGTGCCACCAGGGCTCCTTCTACATACCATTCTTAAAAGGGATACTAGTTTTTAAGTCAGGATTCAGAAAGATACGATTTGCTGTTAACTTTCCATCCGTCCCTAGAATCCCATGTTCTCTTACCAAACAACTGTGCGTCACAATCTGAGTTTACAATCTGGAATAAACCTGGATATGGATCTGATTAGAAAGATGCAGCACTGGGATGGGGCATGGAAATTAAGGAGTATAATTACTCTCTTACCACGAGAACCTTTAATGGCCACGAGACAGGAAGTGTCTGTGGGTAGATAACTAGTGTGCTGATGTCTGAACTATAGCAACGGCCTCTGGACTGGCTTCCTCGTTTCCATCTCTCCTCCTGTAATAGTCCCCCCACCCTGAAAATAACCCCCAATTTCCTTTCCAAAACACGGATATGACCAAGTAGCTTTCCTGCCATCAAAAACTTTCACGGCTCTATACTGTGAAAGGAGCTAATTTCTTATATCGCATTCAACCTCCATTTCTAGTCTCGGCTTCTCTTAACGTCTCATTCTTGTTAAAATCAACGAGAAACTTCCATACTTCCATGCCTTGGCTAATGCCTAGAATAATTCTCAATTTGCCATTCTGATCTCAGTGACGGCTTCCTGGAAGTCCCCAGTAGGAAAGAAATGCTACTTTCTCTGTCTTTCCCCAGCACTTTATTTTCCTTACAGCACTTACTGTCTGCATTTTATTCAAATTATGTGCATATATGGCTACTTCCTCTACTAGACTGTAATTTCTTTAAGGGCAAGGACTAGGTATTAAACATGCCTGCCTTTGTCCCATACTGCACCCAGTATACTGCTGGGCATAATGATGTGCGTGCAAGAAGAATCAATGAAGGAGTATTATTTACAACCAACCCTCGCTGCACGATGATGGCCCCAACTCCCCGGACTCTGGAATCCATTCCAAGATGGATTGGTTAATCCATTCCCATCCTCTCCCCAAAGCTGCGGTTGCCTGAGGTTCTGAAATTGCTTAGTATGCCTCTGGTCAGAGTCTAAACGCATGGAAACTATTAACCTATTTCTTTTTCCCATTTTGAAGTGGTGAAATTAAAATAGCAGAAGAACTTAGGATGGGAGTCTGCAGATGACGATGGTCTGGACAACGAGAGCCGGTTTCTATTCTATGCTGGTGATCTGAACTGATGAGGCTGGAAACTCTTCCCAGGCTTGTGTTTTGTGCCTCTGTGGGTTTTAACCTTGCTTTTTTTCCCTTAAAGCCAGCCCTGTAATGGAGTTGAACAAACCTACAAATGCTTGACCAGAAAACGTTTTTGTTTGCATTGAGGCTTGGCTGCAAGATTCATCTTCTTTACTCAAAGCCAGTTGCAACAGATAAGGCTTAGTCAGTTTCTAAGGAAAGACTTTATGGTCTATTGACGTACTGTTCTGAGGGCAGGTAATCTGAACACTTCTTCTATGAAGGAGAAATAACGTAAAATATGCTTAAAGTGGTTGCTGCTGTTGTTGTTAGGTGCCCTTGAGTCTGTTCCTACTCATGCAACCCTACGTACAACTGAATGAAACACTGCGTGGTCCTGCACCACCCTCACAATTGTTATGCTTGAGCGCATTGTTGCAGCCACTGTGTCAACCCATCTCATCGAGGGTCTTCCTCTTTTTCGCTGACCCTCTACTTTACCAAGCATGACATCCTTCTCCAGGGACTGGTCCCTCCTGATAACACCTCCAAAATATGTGAGACGAAGTCTCGCCATTCTCACTTCTAAGGAGCACTCTGGCTGTACTCTGCCTAAAGTGGTCCTATTGTAAAATGCCCCCAAATCATAAAACAAAAGTTCTCAGAATACAGTTGATTGGAAGCTTGGGCCAGCAAATGGTGGACAAAGATATGCTGATCTTTGCTAGGTATTTCCTTTTACTGCACTCCTCCCCTTTCAGTCTTCAGCTGGTCCACTAGTACCATTACACACATCTTCTCTTTCTTTGCTTTAGAGGAAAGAGAGAGACTCTTGCAATGTCAGGGAGGAGGGCACTGAGAGATCCTCTAGCTCAGGCCTCTAATTTTATAGGTGAGAAGACAGACCTGGAAAACTGGTACAACTGGACCTGCATCATAGCAGTAGAGAGCTGACCTTGCTAGATGGAGAATACGAATTCTACTTCTGTTTATGTCAACATCTACTGTTTGACCTTGGATAAACCATTTCTTCTCTTAAGACCTCAGTTTTCTCATCTATAAAGTGATGATTAATTCCATCTCTGTAATCCTATGACTCTGTGATACATCAGCATTAATAACGACAGGAAAAGGCCAATGTTCCCATTACTGGGGATACACTAGAACAAACTGGATAACCCTTATCTAACCTTAGCCCTCATACTAGTGTATCTAGTCTAGCTATACTAGAACAAACTGGATAAACCTCATCAGAGGATTAAAAGGGGGAATTCATGTTTTTGAAACCTGGACTATACAAACTTTACTATATCCTTCTACTTATAATTCCATAAATTGCTAACGGTAGAATATCAAGCACCAGAGAGGGAGATCTTTGTGTCTTCTTATAGATGGTTATTTAAACAAAAGACGCACTCTCTTCCTAGAAACCTGAGGCTTTCTGAATATGTTAAAATGAAATGGTTAATAAAAAGGTTGTTAAGAAAATAGAAAAATAACATCTTCAAAGGAAAAGTGGAAGAGGAAAGTCTCTAAGTCTATTCGAATCACAACTTGCCTGTGGAGCAGGGGTGCCATGTTGGAAAGATGAGGAGTTAGGAAGGAAGAGCAGACTCCAGCTTAAGAACTTTCAATCTCAGCAGAGAGCTTTGTGACCTGGCTCCAGAACCGTCTCCACTGGTCTCCCCATGGGCCCCCAGCCTCCATCTGGCACCCTGATACAGTTACATTTTTAATAAGCTATGTTTGTTCACAAGCCAGACTATCCCACATCCTTCTTTGTCTAGAGAATACCTACTCATTCTTCAAAGTGAAGCTCAAATGCCACTTCTACAAAACCTTTCCTAATTCTCCCTCTGCTATCTCCCAAGCAAAACAGCTCACTTCCTTCACTCCCATAGAATTGTGATGCTTCTCCTATGGCACTCAGTACCATGCATTTGATTCAGTGGTTTATGTCAGCCTCCATGGTCAAACTGTGACATGTGCCACCTCCTTGCACCCCATGGAACCATAATAGAGAGTCTAAACTTGAGTCACCCAGGACAGAGATTCTGAAACAAAGGTTGGCATACATGAAGTTTATTGGGGACAGCCATTGAGATCAACACCTGTGGGAGAGTACAGGGCATAGAATAGACAGAGAAAGGAGGTGAACCGTGATGTTGTTGCAACAAAGGCCTCAGCTAGTCCAATGGAGAATGCTGGAATGGCCCTGAAGAGTTGTCCTTAGGGGATAAGGCCTTTATATCCCCTGTATCCACCAGTCAATGTGACCTGCAGTGTTCCTAGATGCCAAGCAGTGGAGGAGGAGGTTGGCCAGAGCTTTGGGCACAGAAAAGCAGGGACATGCCTGGGTCCTCTGGTTTAGGACTGTGGCCCCCCAACTGGGGAGAGCTACCCCCAAGAAAGAGGTGTGATCATGGATAAGGCAGTTCTCTTGAGTTGAAGGTAATTTACAGATTGGGACTCAGCTATAAACCACCAGCCACCAATAGTCCCAGCAGCTCGGAAAATAAGAGCCTCAGTTCTAAAGGGGGACCTGGTAGGGGCACCACAGTGCTCACAACTATAATCATCC